ATTTTGTTTCCACTTTTGTAACTAATTTTACTAAGCATCAGAATGTTATGTGTAAAGCTTTGTATATTTCAATTAGAATAATGAGAGACACGGACATTTCTTGTGTATAGATTTGTATATTTTATTAAGACTTGTTAGGAATATATATAGCAAAATGTATATGCACGCGTCATGTTCCACGTGTACATACATAAATGTTCATGAAAATCCCGTAAAGAATGTTTATATTACAATTTGAGAAATTATTTGATATTATTAGCAAGGTAAACAATTATTTGAATGTCTGTTTGAACCATTTGGGTGTCCTGTTTTGATTTTGAGCTGATGAAGATGATGATGATGATGATGATGATGATGATGATGATGATGATAATGATGATGATGATTTAATACCACTTGGTCCTGGAATTACATGATTGCTCTCAATAAGTGTGTCTCTATCATTTTCAATCGCTAGATCTTGTTCTTTCTGCGTCGTAGTGGTCCTATAGACAAATAAAATTTAGTAACATTTCACATCGAGCGATACTTGATAATAATCAGTGTATATTTTACCTGGATTTTACAGCTTCGATTCCAGCAACTCTAGGGTCTGTTAATTTTTCCTTTACGCTTGACTTGAGTGGCGACTGTCCGGAATAATGAACGATAGCAGAGGGGACAAGGTCTTCGTCTATCAATCGTACATCAGGATTTAAAATATGCTTTGGTGGGGTAGTGTCTACAAAAAAGTAAAGTTTTATCAATAATAAAATATAACATGTTCGCCTTTTGCATATAAATAAAATAAATGTGATAATCGTTACTCACAGAGAGTAAATTCGCATTCTGGATCGTCCAAATAATTTTTTATAAAATTTTTAACACTTTCGATAGTCTCTAGTGGTTCAAATAAACCTTGAAGAACAAATTGATCGGGAAATTGTATGCGAATTACTGCACGGCGATACTTGTTTAATCGGTTCAGAGTACGTTTGTCACGATCTAATTGACGTTGTGCCTCCGTCACAAGCGGAGCATCTTCGAGTTGTTCTCTACGACGCTTGGCATCTCTTAAAAGCATCTTTGCATCGTGAAGATCAAGATCGAAAAAGCTATCCGGC